AGAGAGAGAGAGAGAGAGAAAAGATAAAATGAATATGTCAGATACATTTTCAATAATATTTATATTCTTATTTTTATCATATTATAATATCCTTAAGTATATATTTATTGAAATTTATTGAAATTGAGAATTCCTTATTAATATAAAATAAATTATTAATTATTTTATAATAATTATTTTATACCACAAATTAATCTATTTTTATTTAAGCTTTAATTACACTTTGAAATATTTGAACAAATTTTATTACAGTTACGAAAATAAATTAAATATATAATTATGTGCAATAGTAAATTCATTAAAAAATTTTATTTTTAACGATTTTTGACGATGAAGATGGGGATTAGGATTACTTTAAAACTTCCACTATTGAAATCTTTTGTCTAATTTTGCATTGATAAGAAATATGGAATATAAAGTAAAGCTGGATTTGTAATAACGAAGCATGTGTGTGTGTGTGTGTGTGTGTGTGTGCATATCTACTTTAAAAGGAACAAAACAAATTCTATTGTTCCTGCCGTGACGCCAGCGAATATTTCTTAATTCACTCGCATCGGTGCCGATTTATTTTCATTGGCGCATGCATTGCATGTCGGCGCCGACATACTCGTATACCACCGTTGTACATGGAAACCCGTATATAAATCATTTCTATCCACGCGCAGACTGCAATTCACGTCATCGCGATGACGAAATACCACGAATGTATTCTCTCTACCGCGAATACTCCCCTATTTCCATAAAAAGGACCGAGTTCCCTAAAATAAAAAAAAATTCTGGCACTTTTTTGACTAATATTTTTAGAAATACGATCACTAGATTATTTTACTCAGTTTTAGTAAATTATACCTCGTATACACTTGAAAAGGTTTTAATAAAAATTACGTTATAGATGCTGATAAAATTTAACACAAATCTATTCCTCTCTTAAAAAAGGCATGTTATCGATATATCTCATCATATCATAATATACATGTACGTTAATGATATAAGATTCTAAGGCAAATGAACAAAATGTATATTTTAGCATTCTAGACCATTTCACATGGAAGATATTTTAATCGAAGAAGAATGTATTTTTTATTAATTTATTAAAAGTATTTATTATTCATATAACACAAGATAATGCTGTAATATATACTTTATAAAACATTATTATGTATGTTTCGATGTGTATAATTAACGCCTTTAACACAAAATTCTTCAATTTCGTTCTTAAGGATCTAAGGAGACACTCTCCTGCTTGTTGCAGGATCTCCAGTCGGAAATTGAAACGCACCGAGACGTTTATGCATCTTTAAACGGCACCGGACGAAAATTATTGAGCTCACTGGCCAGTCAAGATGATGCTGTTATGCTACAACGTCGATTGGATGAAATGAACCAAAGATGGCATCATTTGAAGGCAAAAAGCATGGCAATCAGGTAAGTGTGACAATTTGTATTTTCCGATTGTTAATGTCGTTAACGTTTGAATTGTCATCGCTGTGCTTTTTAATATTTATGAGAATGGAGACTGTTGCAAAACGAAAACTTTTCACTGTTAGAGAAATGCGATATAATTACATACTTCATTTAATAATATTTTTAGAAGAAGAAAAAAGACAAAATGTGTACTTTATAAAACAAGTTGTGATAATTGTAAGATGCTTTTAATTTCACGGCTATTGAAAACTTTGAAATTCAATAACGGAATTTTTTATTTTTTAATTTAACTTTGTATATTTATGATAGATTTCTATTTGGTATTGTTTGAAGATTGTCATTCTCGATTATTTAAAAGTAGAAAAAATTAGGTAAAAATAGCGGTTTTTAAATACGAATAAAGACATTATTTACTATCATTAATTCAATAAAATTAAGATATATCGGAGATGATATACGAGTTTTCTAGATTTCACACATTTAAACAAGTACATATATTATAAGCATAAACAAGATATAAATATAAAATTTAAAATTGCATAGTAGGATAAAGTGTCATGAAATGCTGAGAGAGTGAATATGTAAGCCGCACTGTGATTTTCATAACAGAGTTATTCTCACTCGTACTATCGCAAAAGACAGTTTTCGCATACGAAATGGCGTCGTAAATCAACCCGTTGAAAAAGGCCAACCCAGAGGAACGGGCTCGCTTTTTCGGCGGAAGAATAACTTCGAAGCGTACAATGCTTTCAGCGTGAAAGCGCAAAAATTTGTGATGCGCGCACGCTTACAGTCATACTTCAATAATTTAAAAAAAGAGAGAAGAAATACATATACATGTACAATATATATATATACGCGTTGTATTAAATTTGCGGCACAGCAAACCGCAGCAGCTATAACACTAGCGAGTTTTAGCTTTTGACATGCGAACAATTTCGGAGATTCTTCTGTACAAGGTGAGCTAGCCAGAGCTACGGGGTGAATAGTGGGTTAACTATGAGCTTCCGCATTCTCAGCACACTTCTGCTTTGCAAGCGTTGCAGTTATGTGTTGTAATAATGTCCACTACACCCAGAAAATAGAAATAATCGCACATTAGAAAGGAGGGTACGCGAGCTTCGACGTGGATGGGAATTTCGTTATTACAAACTGATATGTTTATTTGTTTAAAGCAACTAGATATTTGTGGCAAAAGATGAACACGTGAAAGTTAATTCGTATTATAGCAAGCCACGTATGCATAACGTCGGAAATAATTGATATGGGAAGATAAATTGCACAAATTGAAAGCTCTTTTCACGCTTTGGAGTAGCATCGCGAGTTGAATTGTGTCATCAATTATAAAATGCGAAATAGACATAAATTGAAGCTTGGTGTATCGTGAAATATTACTGTTAATATTTAGAACTTCTTATCTAGAGATAAGATTACTGAAATTTTCAGTAATCAAGAACCACATACTGCAGAATCTAAACCCCGTTTTTGTTCGCGAGTTCGTACGGTTTGCGCTGTCGGTTCAAGGGAAATCCTCACAGGATTTTCCGGTGGAAACTTCGAGAATTCGTGATCCAATTTAGCCTCAAACGTAGCGTAAACTTCTCTTCGACTGTTCGACTATGCAACCGTGGACTGTTAGAAAGTACACCGAACTTTCACAGAAACCACATCCACAGCGCATTGATGTGATAGCGAAGCTACACCTTAACATGTGTTATTTTTATTTTGCTCATTTTATGTCGTCCGAACGAGACATTGTTGAGCATTAAAAGGGGGAAAATGTCTAGCGTAAGCTCCTTTGTCGATTTCGATGAAAAGCTTACGCTGAAATTCCTCCAAAATTTATCTATAGAAACGTTACAATGACGAAAATTCTTATTTCCCTTGAAGGAAGGAAAAACTTTCGCGAAAGAAAATACTTATATCTACATGGATTTGAAACTTTGAAACGTATCTATATACCTGACAGACAAATCCTATACAGATACGCTCTGATAAAATTGCAATCTAAGAAGGATCGGAAAAACTTGCACGAATTTTGTACAAAGTTATATTCGAAATTTTATTTAGTTTATCTTTTCACGAATCTTTCTGATTTATTTGCTTTTAATTTATATATGAAAATATATTTTTATATATGAAAAGAATTGTTTTTATTAAATGCAGTAAACATAAATATCTTGATATTGATACGGATTTATTATAAGAATTATTATTATAAGAATTATTGCATTTATTCCATTTATATTCTGAATATTTCAATGCTATAGTTACAAACATTTTCCGTTATTCAGTTAATTATATGTAGTTAATTTCGAACATGTCCAATACATTGCACGTCGTGCTCTTGTTCATTTTAACATTATTATTAAATTTGGTATTTAATATTCATGTTACACATTATTTTCGTTATACATTATATACTCAGACGAGCGTATTTATAGTACAGAATCGTTCTATCGTTAATTATTATCGTGCCACTGATTAGGCGATTTGGACTTTACTCCGGAAGGCATAAATGGGTCAATTCGTGCAAAGCCGTCCAAAATCTCAGCCGTGTGACCTATCGATCGATTAACGTTTTTGGAAACTTCCACGGTGAATCCATTTGCGAGGACTTTACCGTAGTAGATCGTAATCGGATTCCCCGCGGAAACTTTATAGCGGTGTGTTAATTCTGGGCCCGAACATCGACTCCGAGATCCGCCGTAAACTTTGCTGGGACAACTATGCAACTGCGCGTTGTTGAAGGGTATCTGGATATTTCCGGGGAGAAAGTCCGTGGTTTGATGATGTACGCCGGTGGAAAGTTCCATCGATTTGTCAGTAGCGTCGCGCAACTCGCGAACAATTTTGGCCATTTATGCGGAATTTCATCTATCCAATTTGATTTCTCCATCACAAACTCGTTATTAAATTCTACGTGGTGTCGACGATGGAGTACCGACATCGAAATATATATCTGACACTTCTGATTAACGAAGGAAACAATAATGATCTTAATTTTGCTTAATTTTCGATTTGTAAAATTTTTAATTTTATTATTATTTCAATCAAATTTTCTACGTGCTATTTATTTGAAGAGGAAAACGCGATTAAGAAAATATAAAGATTGTGATAAAGGAAATGCATCTTGGTTTTAAGAGAAATATTGCATTTTTTTAGAGGGAAGATTTCGTTTGGATTATGTAACGTAAAGGGAAACATCGCGGTTTTTCCACGATATCACGAATCTCATAAAATTACAGTAACGAAAAGCCTCAGATATATCTCATAAATGAGACTGCTTACTTTTTATACGTTAGATCTTGCAGCTCTCAGCTTTATCTCGTAGTATAAACAAAGGAACAGATACATATAAAAGCGGAATTTCTTCAAGAAGATATCTTTATTTTGCTTGGTCTTATTAACACGAGATTTGACCTGGATCGAAATTGATGTAGCCCGCGTTCTAGATCGTTGGAGCTTGATCGAGTTTTGTACATTGTTCTAGGTACTAGCTTGATGATATAAGATGATTCGGAGCTACCATTTACTTTTTTTTTGTATAAATATATCATTTATCTCGTTGAAAAAAATATTACTCAGCTTTGTTTTATATTAACCTTTTTGTATATATCTAAATGTCAAGGTACTTATCTTGCTTAAATATTAATCGTAGGATTTTTTTGCGAAGATTCTCCAATTCAGTCAATGTTGGCGAAAAAAGAATATTGAAAATAATGTCAATAAGATAATTACTGCAAACATCAAGATGCTTATATCGCTGAAATATTAATGAAAAATAATTGTTGGCAAAAAGAATGCTTAATAATTGTCGATGATGTAATTATCGATGCTCGTTTTTAATGACTGCGGAAATTGTGAAAAATTCTTATAAGCGATCATCATTAAGGGCCATTTTTTGCGAAGATTTATTTTAATCTAATCAGCTCGAAGTATCAGTCAGTGAAGAAAATAGTACGGCGACAGCACGAAGTCAGCATTGAGGTCAATCCCGATAAAAGGCCGTGCAATCAGTCTCCATTAATTAGTCCGAACTGCGGCCAGAAGCTTGATTACCGAAGAGATATTCGTGCAGGATGCGAACAACGAGAGCGTCACGTATAGAAGGATGGGAGTTCGCGCTCGCCGACCATATTTATCAGTAGCTACCAACTCTCCATCCGCCTTCGTTCTCTCTCCGTCAATCTGTATCTACCGGCCGTATCTGTATCTATCTCTCTTACTCTTGCTTTCTCTCTTTCTCTTCACCTTTCTCTGTCCTTTCCAAATCGTCCTGGCAGCACTTTAGGGGTTACCCCGCAATCAAGCCGCAAATGCCGAAGTCGATAATTCGGCGGACGATCGCTTTTGGCACTGAGTTCAACGAGGTCGTCGACGAACACGGTCAATGTGCTATTTGTGGGAAAATTTTTCGGATTAACCAAACTCCACGGCGGATATGCGTGATAGTAGAGTTATTTCATTGCGAACTGAAAAATTCATCGTGAAGAAATTGTCACAACGGGGTGTAATTAGCTTAAATATCAAAACCGTAGTGTCGCAATATGTCACGTATAGTAATTGTAATATATTCTTGTGATAGATTATTTACTCACGATATTCAACGCTAAAAGCTCTCAATTTATTTTCAATAAACTCTATTTAAGAGTCAGTTTAAAAGTTTAGAAACGTAAATTGATTAATTAATTAACAATCAATTTGTAAAATTTAAAAGACATTTTTTCTACATAATTCTTGTTGATTCTCTATATCAAACTCGTGAAATCTATAGCTTTTTCGTGCTGCACGCATAACAGGAGTATGCTCTTTGCAAAAGTGTATCGTGTTTAGCTGGAAATGAACATCACAATGACTCGTCAAAATGGATGTTAAGCGAACTTTGTGATCGATGCAGCCGTCTCGCCACGCCCGACATAAATTAATGACGAGAAAAATCTGTCCGGTCGACGGACTTTTTGCCGCTGTTACAACCGCACGAATATTTTTTGTTTTCG